AAATGCACTGAACCACATAACATACATGCCAGGAGATTACAAAACTATCTAGTGCGTGCATGTGCCATTCTGTAGCGCCGCTAGCTTGCTGACACGCTATTGCTTGTTTGATACTGACCTCGATGTAGGCTGTATTACTTACCTGGATTGGGAGGATCGTGGTTGGGAGGAAACTGTGAGACAAAATTAAACCAGGGGAGATGGCTCCCGTCTACTTTGAATCCGCTGATTTTTGTGATCTGTTTTTGACTACTCTTCCCTGATCATTGACGAACCGTCACTGCCTGCAAGTCAGGACTACCAACACACTAAAACAGAACTAAGCAAGGTCGCTATTCCAAGTTCGGGCACTTGGCTATAATTTGAAAGTGGTATTTCTTTCAGTAATTGTTTCCGAACACTTTGTCTGACTTACACTTACTATTTTTATACAATACATATGATAATGAAAACAGGACTGAAGGTAAAATTCAGATGGTACATACACATTAGGGCAGACAGTCGTCTCAAGGAGGCAACCGTCTCTTTGAAAATCTGTATTTTCTTGAGGCAATTCACAATAAAAGAAAGCTTTTTTCAAAATTCCATTTTTATTTTATTGTTAGCTTATATATCACATGCAACTAATCCTTGAACATTCTTCGATTGTTATCAACTACAATGCTTTATTGCTTTTCATAATCCTTCTTAATGCGTCCAAGAATATAAACTGGGTAAGTCCACATGCCTAAAATAATTACTGCACCCATCATAATCATTTGCTGAAAAAAAGGATTGATATATAGATCTCATTTTCTTAAAACATTATATAGTAGTTATTTACAAAATAAGTATCGTATGACATCGTATTAGTAGACTCCGGAACTACTTGCACTAAAAAAGTTAAAAATATACATGCTCTTAAAATTCGCAATATATGCTCTTAAAACAGCAAACATATCCGCTTATACGTAAGAATGTTAAACAAAAATGTAGTTAGCAACAGTTTATATTTATTTATCTTCTTTTTAACTGTAGTTCAAAATACGCACAATGACAATATATTTTCAAATATAATAAAAGTATTAAGCGAGAGAACGAATGGCATTGTAACAGGATTATTCAAGCCTGAGTCACTAAGTTCGTGAGCACAAATAAAGCTACAGGACGTAAATCGATTCAAGTGAAAACAATAGTATCAGAAGACTAGCGAAAATATTGTGTTGGAATTTTAGCTTCAGCATGGTTTAATTCACTTTTCTTTTGAAAGAGAAATACCCAAAAATATCACTTCGACTCACTTCTACACAAAAGACTAACATACATTTAAATATGCTGCATACATTAAGGTATACAGTGAAAGAAAAACTAAAGAAATATTCAAAATAAAAATGGGTTACTTTTGTTTTATTGTTGGTGATAGGTAAATTTATATATTTTTTGATATGCGCAATCAATAAAAATACGCAGTTGCATAAAGTTTCGCGGTCTACTTATTGGAATAGGAGATTGGAGAATTATTAATTCTTACTATTTACTTTTGTCTGTCATTTAATTCTTATTTTTACTTTTATTATATGGAGTATTTTCTTTCACATTTATTATTCTTTTTACCACATTTATTATTTAAATTTGGAGTGGGTTAATTAAAAATTCTTCAGTGAATTTAGCAAATTTTACAAATTCGTGAATTCACTGTTACATTTGAATTAAATGTAAATAAGAAAATTATTTCTTAATTTAATTAAATTGTTTTTTTAATGACTACTTAACCCCCCCCCTTGTTCGCTATTTTTTGGAAGCAGATCTGGCAACCCTATCCGCAAAGTGAACTGTTTTTGCGTTTCGAATCGCCGAAGGCATATCGTTTACGTTGCATTATATCGCTGATATAGCACAAGCGATAACCATAGAAAGTACCAAAACATAACTCTGTGCCGACGAAATGACCTTATCCTCCAGAGAGTATATATCCTCCACAAACAACGATCTCCAAAATAGCATGAACGAACATGCAATATGGGCCGAGGAAAACGGACTGAAAATCAACACCAGCAAAAGCGTACTAATGACCTTCAGAAGAAGGGGCAAAGGTAGCGGAGGAAGAAAAACAAAACTTGGATCTGAGAAACTCGAAGTAATGACTTAAGTACTCATAACGTACTTAGAGTATCTGAAGCTGAGAGATCTGAAAGTATTAGAAAAAATCAAGACATTATTCCTGAAGAAAGTACTGGGCGTATCAAAATACACACCATCCAGAGATGTATATCTATTAACCAGTGAACCCTTTTTAATTGAGGGCCTAAGATATAACCTATTACTACCATCTACCACAGCATACAACAGCTAGCGGAAAGGCAGAAGAGAGAAAGGATAACTTTTCTATGTTAGACGCACTTTGTAAAAGTCCCTGTTTCATTGTGTTTAAATTTATTCGTCCTGCGAAAGGTGATATACTGTTGCTGATAGTAGTTAATAGGCCATAGATTGGTTCTCATATTACTTCATTTTGAAACTAATTACGTATTGTACAGTGAGACATGAATTATAAGACATTTTCTTATTACGACACTGATCTCAGTTTTGTAAAAGTTTGTCATTAGATAACCAAAGTGAATAAATCACTCAATTTCTATAACTTACTTTTGTTGTAATGCAGTTCTTAGGAGGTGCAGAAATGTTGCCATCCCCACGTCTGAAGGATCGTCTCGGAACGATAACCTGACGAATTGCAGGAGCAGATTTTGCAATACATCGCAAGGGAATCATGTCGATTTTTGTTGAAACAATATTCCTAATGTTGATTATTTTGCGCACTTCCCAGTTCTATCAGAAAACTAGTATGGTTTGAATGCTTCACCTTCTGTATATCAATCCCCCAAGATCTTCACTTTGCTTCGGATCTGCTTATTCAATAAAACAATTGAATATCTGCCAGGTTTCTTCTGTCATCTTCATATTTTTATAGTGCTGGAGATAAGCATAAAATCTTCTTTTTCATTCTTACATAATCTATAAGATCGTTAGTTTATTTGCGTAACTTGTTAAATATGTTTCATACTGAATATCCTTTGAAGAATATTAAATGCATATTGTTCTATTTGAAGTAAGGACTTCCGGAAAATGAGAATAAGACTATCCACGTTGCCATATCTGCACTCAAAAAGTGTTTACCAAACAAATCCATATTGCCAATTTGATCTTTGAATAGTATTACGGCAACGACGGTTTCGAACAAGGTATCAGCGTTTAACCACGTCGTGTTGACCACATTAGGTCAAATGTAAAAAAAATCATTTTTTTGTTTATTACACCGTTGTGATCAATCTGGAGAACTGAAGCCGTTGCAATACTTTGGTAGTAAGACAACGGATGAAAAACCGAATATCATTTGTACATTTGTAAAAGCGACCGTCAAGACAGAGAGGTAGATAAAGTTATTTGTTTTTTCTGAAAACTTCGATTGATTTGACATATGACTTATTGCGGTTACCACGCAATAAGTCGTATGTCGACGATGTGGTTCCACCCTTCCACTCCTTGGGATGTGGCATCTCATCCTTTGAGAAGGGTAGAAAACTAAACCTCCTCGGGGTGGAGCCTACTTTCGGTTGCCAGAAATGTTTTTAGGAAATAGTCTCAGGAGGGGATCTTTGAGTATTAATGATATTGTTTCATTTATTATTCATAGCACAGCCAACTGTGAAGTTGAACTTTGCTTTTGCATAAAATGGAATATATCTTTTATACATTAGTTAAAATCTTCAAATAAAATTCTCAGTGTGCCAGCACTCAGAAGTTCCTTAAAGTAGTATATGCATAGGGTTGCCTGATTGGAGAATTTTGTCCCCAAAATGGGAATTTGTTTTCGTTGTGGGGAAAGAAAGGGGAACATAAATGTAACTTCAAATTAATTTCTCCCCAAAGCACGTCACACAGTTTTAGCTGTTTTTGTCGTAAATAAATAAAAACATAATTAAACGGGAATTGTTTGGGAATTTTGGAGATTAATTATTTTAATCCAAAGTCGAGATAGAAATATTGTGAATGAAAACTAAACAATAGACGTTATTCTCTCTATTTTTTTTATCAAAAGTTGTATGAGAAAAATAAACGACGGTGTAGAGAAAGAAAACTATACTTCGTTAATCGATATATATCGGACCGTGTTGCCAGACGTACCAGGATCGTGGAATTTTTACCAGGATTTAAAGAAGATACCATGTATAATGTGTTATACCAGGATGATATCCTGGTACGTTCAGATACTAGGATTTTTAAATTATGGTAATTGATGATGTACATTTTAAAATTCGTTTAATGCTTTTTTATTCAATATTTTAAATCTATCTCCAATATTAAATATGTTCATCATGAACAAATTTTCAATAATTTTCAGTGGTTAGAATCACTGCAACATTAAGATGGCAATTCAAATGGTCTACTTCTAAAATACCATTTTATTCATTTAGAAATTGTAAACTATAGTGCTGAATGAGATCAAATCCCCGCCTAGACAAAAATAAAATTATCTTTAAACTTTTTGTAAGAATGAAGCATAAGACAAAGTACAAATTATAACATCATTTTTCAAAAAATTAAGGAATTTTTTAAAATTTCTAGAATTTTTGTTTTGTTAGTTGTTTTTCAAGGCTACTGCGATAGATGATGCATTAGTCTGTATGATTGAACAAGAAAGTCTTATTGTTGTAACACCAAAAGATGATTTTAAATTTATTCTTGATATTGGTATGGGAAACCGTATTTGGGAGACTTCTCTTTTCTTCCTATATCAATTTCCACAACTCACCCTAATGCTCAATAAGGTTAGTTTGGCAATACTATGCAGTCTACTTTTCGCTTCTGAGATTGTATTTTGAATTGATTTTGATTGATTCATTGTTCCAGTCTTATGAGATTTTTACACCTATGTATATATAGGTTGACCTATTGTATATTTTGTTGATAATTATAATTTTTGCTTTTAAATTTTATAATACACTTCATTTATTTACATAACCAATATAGAATACTAACAAGTTCACTTTTGATTGTCTCGGCAATCTTAAGAAAATGGGGGAATATGGTAAATGAACTTCTACAAAAACTGTCATGAAATGCTTTATTAAATCTTTATTTTGCACAAACATGAAACTACGTATTGATGGCTGAATAATTTTCCTTCTAAGGCAATTTATGAAGTGCACGGCATCATCATATGTTTTTTAATAACATGTATCAGAAAAGAATCAGTTCTGGTCTTCTGATTCAATCTAGCAGAGAAAATATAACCATTTTTGCCTGAATATGCAAAATCATCACACTTTAAACTACAGTAAAGTTGAACTTGTGTACTCAAACACGAAGACAAGTTATATTTCTCTCATGCATTTGCTACAAGACATGTGCAGCATTCACATATTACAATTAATGAATTTACAGGTACACATATCCAATGTACTAAGCCTCCTAGCAAATCATAATTACAACTCTAAAACACATTATTGATGGTTCTGATCGACTATTCCTGAATTCGATCGACTTACGATTCCGATTTGATTTATTGTACTTGTGCAGCCATTTTAACAATGTTAGGAGCTCACTTCACAGAAGTAAAAAATCTCACTGTTAAAAGGGGACTACAATGTTACCAATAACACATGGCAATTCTCATAAAACATGAATTATTGACAGTTATTAAAAACTGAATATAGGCAATCCTTACATAAAACCAGATACATCATGCTATTAAACAATGTACAAATGTAAAAAATTAGCTTTGCAAATGAATTTTCACAGTGCATCCATTGCATTCTTCTTCTCACACTTTCACTTTGCTTCTTCAGATCCTTGCTACCAAGTGTCTGCAATGCTTTAGGCAACTGCCTGTGTCAGTTGCAGTAACATGTTATCAGTTTTTTCAATGTCTGTAATATACGAGTGTCAGAACTATCAAAATGGAGATGTGAAGCAACGTAAAGCATAATACTGATAATGGATCATAGAGAAACTTGTTAACAAAAAACATGGTAACTACCTAGTTATTACATTTACTACATTTGTAATACTTTTCATACAATACTTCGGCTCTTGATTTTACCCTAAAATGCCAATTAATTTGTCAGAATTTTTGGAATTCAATTTGTAGTATGATTTGAAGGTAAAAATTCAATTGATGCACATTAATTAGAGAAAGTATTGAACAATACTGTGTGAATTGCTGGAAGGCAATTCTTTTTCTTCACGTACATTGCATATACTCCTGTACATGATTTTTTTATTACTTTCACAAATAACTGGGATACCCTGGACAACTAGGAATCGTCTTTGACAAAACTAGCCAGTCTCAGGGTAATTGAATTTGCATTACATAACAATAAACAAACTCTCCATACACCTGATACTCTAGGTCTATAAGTTGGAAAACAAAGTATATCGCAATGATGAAGTTGTGCAATATTTAAAAAGTTATAAAAAGATCTGAACAGTCTTCAACAATACTTGTAAAGGAAAATAAAGTATTTTTTCAGTATTGAAAATACACTGACCATGTTTGACAATTGATTTTTTTCTTTTTTTTCCGTTTTCTTATTTGATCTGCAAAATTATCACAACAGCGCAAAACTAATTAAACAGTACTTCATGGCACTTATCTAGTGCTACCCCATACAATTGACTTTTACTTTTTACTGTCCAGTAAATGTCTATTCTCAAAGAGAAAATGATGAACATCATTTTCTCATTACATAACTTTCTTACAATTATATACATCAGATCTGAGTACTAAATCGAGGTCTTGGAAGGTCACCAAAAACATTGGCATCACCATGCACACTTTTGGCAAGAGCTTTGATGGAAGCTGCAATATCCATCGGATCTTGAGGAAGCTGCTGAAACAATAATGTATTAAAAGTACATAAAACAAAGACAATCAAACATCAACGAAAGACTAGCAAGACATTGAAATTTGGTTACAGACCTGATCATCATCCATGTCTTCAATGTTCTTTTTTTCCTGTGGCATGAATGATGGCACATTAACAGGAAGAGACTTGGCCAAATTGTGCATGCCCCTGCCTCGGGGAATATGGATTCCCTCGTCATGGCTGCCAGAATCTGAAAGAGACCACTTATCACTTACTTATCACACTTACCACTTACGAAAGAGACTTACTTATCACAGTTTGACTAAAAAAAATATGGTCTTTACAAACAGTGCAACAGACTTCTAGATAAATAAAAGAATCAAAAAGCAGAAAATAAGCATTGAAAATACACAAAAATCGCATGAAACAGTAACAAAAAGCATTTAATGCAAGACAGTACTCAGACAGACGGAAAGAATGAAATTGCTGTCATGTAGGTTGTTTTCAACATCTAGAGGTCAGAGATAGTTGTATTCTTTTTAAAATTGCCACATGTAGTTATCTAAAATATTAATGACAGTATCGATTAGTTATGACAATATGGTCAAGAGATAAAACCCATTATGTAGTTCCATTAAGAGGAAGAGAAAACTGGAAAACCAGAGAAAAATACCATTCTTTGAATACAAAAAAGAAATCAATGAGAATAAATTAAAATCTGAGTTGGACATAACAAAACAATTGGAATAAAATGGAAAAGTTCACAAAAATTTCAAGAAATAGTTGGTTCCGAAACTCATTTGACCAGAAACCTATCTACCCTCTAAAGAAATTAAGTTCTTTGAACAAAGCTACAGAAATAAATTTCATTCCTATAACTATTGAACTAAATTAAGATATTCCTATGTTCACTGCCAAGCTCATTCTCACTATTGTACACCTTGGTACCATGTAGGCATTTCACACACATACACACAGTCTCCGTGCCAATGGTAATTTATATACTTTACATGCTAGAATGGTAATTGTTGTACAAATATTTATATAATAATAAATAGAATTAATTTTATTTACAAAAATGTATAAGTTCATATATACTCATAGGAATGTTTTTTAGCTGTTAACACTATAATGAGCCCGGTTTCCCTACGAGACTATATGGTCTCACATTTAAAAATAAGTGAATGTCTCTGAGACCATATGGTCTTGCATGGCCGCCAAACTGTGAATCAATAAGAAGTTCCTCAAAATTAGAGGTCACTTAAGGAGGCTTGTATTTCATAGACGTCTCTTATGGGAAATGAGTGTTCCTTATGGTATCGGAAATGTTGTAATGTTGCATTTCCATCAGCTGACCCAGTGTGTATCAGTGGTTTCAGTTGTTTCAGTGGTTATTAACTGTAACAGTGCATTTTCATTGTGCCTTGTGGTTTTTCGTGTTGAATTTATATTAAACGCAATTTTACGATGAATTTGCCAGTGAGCTTAACAGGTGAGCATTTTGGCTTTTTATCAGCTCAAAACGCGAAAACTCTCGATCTGATGGAAACTGTACAAACTTCTTGATGTTACATACCAACATTTCTGAAACTTGGGCAATTGTATAGCACAGTGTAGCTTGACTAACTTTATAGAGATCTGCGCAACCAAAAACAAGATATAATTTAATTTATATACATTTATTATGATTACAATAAAATTACCTGGAAGATATAAAGAAATTTCATTTCTTTCATAAGATTGCCATCGATATTTCATATCTTTTGCAATTTTATAGAATGAACGTGAAAGGATGAAGACGCGTAAAATCTTAACACTATTGTTAGCATCTTCATAAACGTAGGGGTTGGTAAGTCTCTCTTTTTTAACATTTCTTCTTTCATTGATGTGAGAAACAAGATTTACAACAGTTCATTCACAAAATATTAACTACCTTCTAAATTGTTCTTTGTTGTATATTTCTCATGAATTATCAGCATCTCTGATATCCTTCAGTTGTTTTAAAATATTACACAGATAATATTTTGAGCGGAAATCTCCACATACCCTAAGAAATCATCGTCGCTATCGGCAATGTCAAATACACTTGTGTTTGTAATGGATGTAGGAGTGGTTACTCATTCATTGCTCATTTGAAAATAAGTCTCTATGAATCGGACTCTTACTAAAAGAACTCTCATTACAAGAAACGACTGAATTCGGTCCTACTTTCCATACTCAGTAAAAAGAAGGAGTAAACAATACATCTGCCAAGCATATGCTTCTATTGCAAAAGTAATTATCAAAATTCCTCCCAGATGGAAAATAAAATCATCCTAGACAGTTCAATGTTCCCTGTGGGAGAAGAATTAATTTCTCCTTGCCATGGATGCAGTTAATACATAATGGGATTATATTTATGAGTTTCGCACTGAAGTGTTCAAATAAAGAACTTCAAATGACAGAAATGGACAAGAGAACGCTCTTAAAAGAATTATTATGATTCATTCATATTACGTTAAGCAAAGTAATATTCATTTCACTATCACAACTATTTGAGCCACAAATTTTCATGCGATTCATATTCACAACAATAATAATTATTAAATCAAACATATTTAACTTCATAAAAAATATACATGAACATTTTAAATATTATATAATTTCTGTTTTGTGTTTGCTTGAATAAAATATTTAATTAATATTTTTTTGCCCTTCCACAAGTTAAGCATTTAAGAGTACGTTGGCCATGACTCAAAAACTCGTCATAAAATTGATTGTCAAAAATTCACACCATTTGCTTTGCACAACTCAAAAAGCAAGTATTTGCTTAGTCATTCATTTCCAAGAATTACTCTAGCAAAACATCTTATTCAATCATCACATCCTACATTAATTCTACAGGGGTGACTCCTTTTCCATCCAAGTATAGAGTAATGTATCATTTTACAGGTATATAAATAAACTATGAATTTGACTGGCATTGGCAGGTAATTAATGGTTAAAATTATAATGTGCTTTGCCTGAGACATACACTACCAACTTATGAGATGTAGGCAAGTGTTTAGTGCTTTGCCACACAAAATACTGGCATGCTTAGTTAATGAAGGACACTCAATAACTGGATTTTTTAAAACAATTCTATTCTTTAACACATCATAAACTATGCTTTTTTTATTATTTTATAACGAACTTATTTTGTAAGTATAAAAAAGCTGCATTTCATTGTTAAATGCAAAATGTTATCAGTATTTCTTTGTGTTCTGGATTTCTGATAACTGAATTATTATCAGTTTCTAAAGGAAACTTGGAATGGAGTCATTTTTGTGAAAACAAAGTTTTAAAAAAATAAGCATATATATTATAATAAATACGGCATAATATTGTTAATTCTATATTTTTTTATAGGTTTAGCTAGTATTTTTTGAAAATAAATAAACATTTTAAATTACGTAATATCATACTATGAAATTTCTGTTGAGCTATATTCACAAAATTTCCAATAATTTTAATTTCTTCTCCCATATAAAAGAAAAATATAATTTTTCCATGATTTTGAATTCCCTAATGTTCACTGTTTTTTAAAAATCTTTTATTGCTCTTCTATTGCCCTGCTTCATACCATCAGTGTCCGATTCCTCTTCAGAGGGGCCTGCCTCTGGAGGGTTATCCTCCATCCCTTCCAAATCAAACAGCCCTTCGGTGTCGAATGAATGCCTGTTCCTCTGCCCTTTGCCTTGGCCAAACAGGTTGGCAGGAACTATCCTCCCAGATCGGCTGTGGCTTCCAGCACTCTGCAAAGCAAGCAGTTTCACAATGTAACAACAGAAAAATTCCTTTTAAAAGGCAAGAGAATAAAATCTAACACTTTATAACAAATATCAAATGTTAAAAATGAATTATGAAAATTAATAAAAATATTCTGACAGCCCAATTTACAGGTTAAAACATCAGGTAAAACAATGTTGCAATTAAAGTTAAAAAAAATAAAAAATAAACACGGTGAGTTTTGAATTCTAGTCTCTTGGAAAAAATGCAGCAAAGAATGCAAAAATACAACAAAACTAGTCTAGCAAAAATGATAAAATTACTAATGACAGAAACTGGATGATAGATCGATGGATCTAATACATGCCCTCCAATATGAAAACTTGTGGTGCTACAAACAAAGGATGCTTAAGTATTGATTTTGACATTCCCATTCGGGTTCCCCCTTATCAGCACCTAAGAGGCCTAACAGGGCCTCCTGCAAAAACTGCTGCTTGGACATTTCCCAGTGAAGAACTCCTTGAGATCCCTGAAAATTCATCTCAGTTATGTACTATTACTTTTATGCCCATGGGCTCACCTTGGGTCTTGGAACATTGTTCAGACACCATTTCCTCAATTACACAGATCTCACACAGTTAACAGCCACAGAAAAAGAATATAGAAGGATAAAGAGTGTAGTGATAATACACAAGGGTATGGGAACGCCCCATGCCATAAATAACTGAAAACATTGATGCGCTACATGGGTTTCAAGCCCACACATGGATGCTCCTGCCCCAAGCTTCTGACTTGATTGTGAACATGTTGCAGTTACTTTGATGCACTGGCCTTCAATGTACTTTGCAACATTGAATCAATGTATCACAATGATATTTAACACCATTTGTTGACAAACCAACAATGTGAACACCTTACTTTAATTTTAACTAGTGATGCTACAGAATGGCACCGACATTCCCGTATTAGTTTTTAATTTTCTTTGGCCTCAGCTAGCTATTCCGAATTGCCACATACTCTTGCCAGCTGCCATCTACGAGAAAATAGTGTTTAGGTGTTTCTGAAAATGCAGAATTTTGAGCTAGTTTTCACAGAAAACTTGAGTTTTCGAGAACCTATATGACATTATTTAAAGCACATATACTCGTAAATATAATACTGTGAATAAATCAAAGTTAATGTAAATAGAAATGACGCGAGAGAAGTCAAAATAATTACTTTTTGTAATTTTTGAAAAAACAAAATAATAGAGCAACATGGCATTTATGTTTCTCATAGAGTACATTTAGCACAATTCCCACCAAACGTTAAAATAAAATAAAATGAAATAAAAAATATAAAAAGATAAAAATAAAAAGAATTGTGCTGTTTTTGAGAAAATCTTTTAATTGCATGAGTGTGAAAACTACTAAAATTTTCAAAAAATGTGCAGGGCTTTAATGAAAGAATTCACTATGCCGCACAAATTTTCTTTGAAGGAAAAATCTTTATCTTTAATTTTGTAGTTTTAAGAAGCCATCGCAAAAAATTAAAAATGTTGCAATTTTTAAAAATTACGAGTTAACAGTGAGAATCTGATCTATGTCACTTTTATAAGTGTATTTTACTCTAATCTTATAAGAAATTTAAAGAAAAATTTGAAGCCGGTTTTGAGAAAGTTTTGAAAATGTCCGGGGGACTTCATGTAAAGTACCTTAAAGGTGGTGTTCAAAGACTGGCAAACATCAATTTAAATCAAGGATCTCAAAACAGGGATTCTGGCTACACCATTGTGTTAGAGGCCATGCGCACCCCCCCCCTCATTCATTTAGCAATTGGATATATCAACTTTTTTGTTATCAGGGTCTGGCAATGAATTGTTTTTGCTGAAAATCCACTCTTTTTTTGTGCAGCATTACATAACTTTCCTTATACTCCGTATATACATATGTACACAGGAAAGTAAAAATTATCCACCTCACACTCATTAATGAACAAGTTTCTCAAAATTAAGTAACTACTAATGGTGTAGAACAAAATATTTACAGATAGTTTCATTTAACATAATAGTAAAATTTTCATTTCTAAAATAATGATATCAAGTATCAATGTTTTACCAAGAAAGAAGTAATCATTTTTTCACATTTTCTCGAATTTTTTTGTCTTCTCCTTTATTTTAAATTAGACCAAAACTAACATAGAAGAACAAAACTGTTTCATGAATAAATTTTCAGGAAAAAATTTTGGAGTCTGTTTGTGTAAAAGCCCTCCGTGAATTTCAGTAAAAACGCATTTTTGGGAAGATTTACACAAACTTTCAGATTTCATGAAACATTATAAAAGACTGTTTGAAGCATTTGTGCTCACAAACAATTTAAATTATAAAATACAGTGTAATGTAAATATTAACATGCAAGAACTAACGACTTGTGAAATTCTAAAGGCACATACAACATTTTATAATCCCAGAAATTTACACAAAATTACTCACTGATAAAGGGGAGCTGGGCTGTTTGCTTGGCCTGAAATCAGCAGTAACAGTACTGGGGCCATCTCCTTTATTCTGAGAGGCAACTGGAGAGGCTGCGCCGGCAGGACTTGCAAGAGGTGCTGATGACCGCAGCACTGAACGCACAGAGGATGCCAGTGGCGTGGGCACATTATGGTTGTCAGGAGTCGATGGTGGTGTTTCCAAGTTGTCTAATGGTGCAGGTTGAACAATTTCTGAATTGCCAAACTTTTCTTGTGCTTCACAAAGCAACCTGCAAGTTGATCATTGTTACACAAATGTCTGCAGATGTGGTTTTGGCAGAAAAAACTATTTGCTGTGAGAGTGCTTCAAACATAAAAGATGAAAAGTCAAAAGCAAGAAGATGCAAAGGAAGATAAAGAAGAAAATAGGAATACGTGACATTCCAATTATTCAAGATTTCAAGAGAAAGTCTTCTTTTCAATAAAAATTTAAAGACCTAAGGAAGAGTTCAAAGATTTAAAGCATTTGTGATATCTGTGTTTCTTGTAAGACTACAGATCCAAGACTACATTTGCAGCAAAGACCTGCAAATGTTCAGGTGTCAAGTCTGCACATCATCTTCTAAAAACATCAACTAATCCGTCTTCCCATCTCTGTTTGCAACCATTCTATACTTCTACGAAGCAATTTCTCAACCACTGCTTCTTTTGTCATTCGCATGTTATTTCACTGTGATTCCCATAAGCACTATCTTTTCCTTATTTCTTCCAAATACAAACAACTATCGCATGAAAACCTCTTCACTCTAAATGCCAATAAATAATCAATTATACACTTTTTTCCTCCTGAATAGAAACCCTGCATCTCACTGACTTGTGATTTGAATTAGGTGGAAACAATATTTCTGCCCTCCATTTATTATATGATAACCTTGTCAACAGTTTAGACATAACTGTTAATTTATAATTAAATTCAGGATTGCCTGTGTTCTATGTACCTGGTTGTTGTGAAATTATTATCAAAATTTTAAAAAATCATGCTACATTTAATTTTTAATAAAAATAGTGTTATTTCGAATCTCCTTCAAAATTATAAGAACTCTTAGAATAGGTGACGTAGCAACACCCAGGAGCAGCAAGTTTATGTCACCCACAGGGACATGCATATTGAAAGCATATGAAAAACAAAAAGCACTGAACTTAACAATTGCTTGCCTCTGATGGACCTCAGCAAAGCTCTACACCTATGTGCTAATTTTGTCCTTCAATGTTTATCAGAAATTTACACAACTATTGAAAACAAATCGCCATGCGGTAATACTTAGTGGAAACTCTGGTGTTTTATTACAGCCAGGTCTGCATATAAGCACTTTGTTTTTTATTATAATCTGTTGATTTGGGAACAGTTGTGGAAATGGACAGTCACAGTGAATGTCAAACTAGTTCTTTAAAAGTATGTGACTGTGTGTCCCAGCAAGAAGAACCACACGATAAAATTTTATAAATATTTGGGCCTTGGACATACGTCAAAAACTGAAAAATTGTTAATAGACTTCCTGAAAATGATTGTAATATATTGCTTAAGTTCATGGAGCATTAGTTCTTAATTATACTGTATAAAGCTTTCCTTCACCTATAGCGTATTATTTGGGATCTGTAGTTGACTTCCCCGACTGCTCTTCTCTGGGTATCCGAATGACATTGGTATGCAACTATTAAACATTAATTACCTTGCAAGTAAACGATGATCATTATGAGCGCGCTCACGAAATTCTTCCAAAGCAGCATACTGCTGTTCTGAATACTGACGGACTCTTTCTTCGGTTCGAGTTGTTTCATATTGAATAATTTCTGCTAACTGCTGCTGAAGAGCTGTTATTGCAGTTTGTACTGGTGCAGGCAACTGAGAAACTACAAAACAAAAAAGTAATTTATAATGATCTTAGTGTGACACAAAACACGAGTCCCTCTAATAATATTGAAATATTCAACAGTATGAAAATAATTATTACAATTTTTGGTTCTTAAATATATATACGTTTTGTTTAAAAAATAACAGGTCTCTTGTGGATTAACAGAATGCTTATGCATTAATCGCCCCCTGATTATTATAATTAGTGTCTTGAAGGAGAAAAATTAAGAGAGATTATTTTTGACAAAGGAATATTTTTGTTCCAAATTATCAAATGTTAATTTTTAAAAAATTTGTTGCGTCTAAATAGACGCAACGCGTCTCAAGCCTTGGGGAGGGGGTGGGGGTGGGGGGGTGAGCGCTTTGCGCATATAGTGCGCGGGAGTAATATTGTCTCATCTCATAGTCAGTTATATATCAGGAGGACTGCCAGGTAGCATCTCTGCTTACGTGCCTCGTGCTACTACGCGCCCCTGCATCACTACTCAGCAACGAGAATTAGGAATGCAAAGACAATAATATGCTAGAATATTTTGACTATACTTTGAGAAAAGGACATAATAATTGAAAATAAGAAAAAGAAAATACAACAACACTTCAGTTTCAAACATGATATCTTACATAGCTTAAGTTAGTAAAAATAACGACAGTGATTCTCAAAGACTGAACCCATCATACTATGATGTACAATTATTTTTTTCAAATATTCAATATTACATTATGAGATAGTTTTAACTTTTTTCAATTCAATTTTTTTATTACAATTCCTTATTTAGAGATAGTTTTATAATAAGTTTTGAATATCATCAACATTGTCGAATTACTGATATAGTCTCTAAAAATATCCTTCAGCATAAAATGTGATGGTTAAAAGGAGCAATACTATGTTTCTTCCACTAACAAGACCGTTATTACTATAGTCAGAAACATATAGAGCATTAAACATACTATGAAGTAGTTATTTCAAAAATTGTAAACTGTTGCCAGATGACAATGTTCAAAATATTTCAGTATTTATTGTTAAACATCTGCAGATCCTGTACTGAGAAAACACAAAAATTTAACATATCTTTCTGGGTTTAATTACAGTTTTTTTCTTTTTTTACACGTGGAAGTAGTTTCCTTTTCCAAACAGTACTGAAAAATGATAATGACAATGGTGACAAAATATTTCTGTCTTTAATCCTTACATGAGGATGGCACTAAACATTTTCAGGAATGTAACTATTATTTTTGCAACAAATGTCATTATTTTTAAAAGCATTTTACCACCTAAAAAAAAACACGTTATGAAGGTCATTTTCTACACACAAACATCTTAGCACCTTAGAAACAATGGCATCTGGGCTGGAAAATCACTCGCCATGTTTTCTTTTTTTAGAGCTGGGAATAGTTAAAACTTCTTTAGATATGGGTTTACACTGAACAAGGCCAGAAATTCATTTTATTTTTTACTGATACATTATTGCTTGTTATCGACTTTGATACAGAGCTCAACGTAAAAAGCATAACTTACCTGGGTCAAGAGGATCATGGTTACGAGGGAAATATGAAAACGGTTGAATAATGTTATGTGTTCTCTTATGAAGGAAATAATGGGACTGAAATTTGAAAAGACAAACCAAGACAAGTTAACATCTAGTTAATTAGTAAATAAGTAAATCTAAATCAGGAAAATGAGGTAAAAAATACAATCTTGAATGCTCCTCAGGTGTTAACTGATTCTAATGTTCTCAGGTGACCAAAAGCTCTCTGGCTATTGTCACCACTATCATTAGAACCTTCAAAACACCCTTGGTGCATAAATAATGCACTTTGTACCTTCAAATAAACAATCGTTTGTTCATTGTATTTTCTGATTTTAAAGTTTGCTAATATAATGTAAGTAATTTAATACCATTCAGACAGTTTTATTATCTTTTAAAGCAATAGTTGCAAGGTGTCCCAATTTTGCTAGAAACCAGGCAACCCTTTACTTGGCAACATTTCATAATTACACAATTGTGTTTGGTAATTCTGAAAATATCCAAACTGCAGATTCATTATTCATTTCAGGTTTGTATAGAGAAATGATGTCATTAACAGTTTGATAGTATAAATTTGGGGTAGGAAAATTAGAATATTTAATTTTTGCACAGATCTTAAAGCATTTGGCACAAGTTATTTTGGAGAACAAAGGAATTAAAATATATCCACCATGTTCATAGCATCACATTTGATGATCATGTAATTATGACAATCGCATGCACATATCTTGATTAATTGCGCTCAACATCAATGTTTCCTGAAACAGACGTGCCTTTGGAGTCCTAAATTGTGTACCTAATAATGCTGAACTCCTTTTTTTTTTTTAAATAATTTCCATGGCATTTGATACATTGAATAAGAATAAAATTATATTAATCTTCACAGTTTTTATTCCAATTTATTTCCCAATACCAAATATCATATCTTGTCAGTGTTGCCTTCCTATTTCATCTATCTACAATCCCAAATTTGAAGCATTTCCGTTCTACTGGCTCCCAAAAAATCTTTATAATTTAAGAAATGTCAAAAAGGATTGTAATCACTGAATGGCAATGATAAACCTTATGTATCAATATCTATTGAACATAAAAGTGAATAATTTACGAAGAATTCAATTTGCTGCGTAACCAACAGTTTCAATTTGTTATGACTTCTACCAACGAATACTGTATTATTTGGACAAATAATTTTCATCATATAGATACCAAACTCTTATTGGTACTTCCTCGCTAACCATGCTTATAATTACATCAATTCACAACTGTTCAATAAATGAGATACTCAAAAATTCACCATTTAAATCAAACAATTAAGAGAGTTCATTTGTTTGGAGCATCTTATCAGTCAAGTTACATGATAGAAACTCATAATGTAAAATTCAAATTATGCAAATCACTTAGGCCTACCAGCAAATTTTGTAGGAGCTTGCAAAGCCGCTTCTTCTAACTCAGAATGATTGATGACAATACGAAACACAGGTGAATATTTCTCATTTTTCTTCAAAGCAGAAATTTCCTCTGGATTCACCTGTATAACATTAAGTTTAAATGACATGATAATATTCTAAAACAATGATAGTAATTTACTAAATTGACAACTATTAACAAAAATATTACTTAAGTGAACTAAGTCACTAAATATGTAACACTATTATAAAGAAATCTCCCAGTCGTAACATGAGATTTGCCAAATGTAATGATGAAACCATTAACATAACAAAAAATAAATTTACCAATAATGCTTTATTAAAAAGAACAAAAGCTGCGCCTTTTTCACGATGAATAGCATGGGTATTCAAGGAGCAATTCATACATGAATGAATTATCCATAGGCCCACATTACGGACTTGCACAAGACTAGATTGTACTTTGGAAATTCTGCCATGTTCCACAAGGACAAGTGCCTGAAAACAAAAAGTATAAATACATTTTACAATTCTCATTTACACATTACCCGATAATCAGTTACAAATCGCGAAACTTATAAATTCCTTCAAGGAAATTACCGGGAACAAATAGTTTGTTTACCTCTTTAAAGAATGCGTCGCTTTTTTCAGTGACAGTTAGGTTGAGCGTAGACACATCAATTTCTTGAGTTCTTGAACCCTGGGTCTCGATAGTGACATTCAGACATTTACACGTTATTTGCATTTCAAAACTTAACTTTCAGACGCACAGAAACGAAGAGGCCAAACGTCACGTAGGCACCTTCCAATGTACGAGCAACGTAAATACCACACGTTCCGCTACCTTTATTAGAAACTTCTTGATATAGACTCAAGATGTCATTTCAAAATCAATTATTAGAAAATAAGATTGGAATATATAGTTTTAAGATTTAAATGCCTTCCTCCGTCTATTCCTGCAAACTCCTTCGAACTTCCTATAATTCACCATAGACTCAGGACACTTCACATCTCCGAAGCTAGCAGCTGATTTGTTATTACAGGATGCTAAATCCAAATAGCACTCACTAGTCTATACAACTGCTAAACTCATGAAGTTAATTACGTAAATATACGCTAAATATAACAAAAATATTATGAAATGGCAATGAAGTGACTATTTGTGTATTTGAAAAGAGACATCTAAAATTATTTATATAAACTGCAGTATTCTTCGTCGTGTTTGTGTGAAGAACATGGGAATCAAGGTGTCTCACATAGTTTTCCGCCCGCGATTGGAGGAAGCATTTCAATTCTCTTCTCCTGTGAGACTTCTCTTCTTCGGATAGGACAACCGACGACCGTGAACGCTGGAGGGCGAATATATGTAGTTGTTTTTTATTTATTTTTCTGTCTTTCTGTGGTGACCAGCACATCGCGCTCTTTTTTTAAATATTTTTTTTTGTTTAGAAGAAATTATTTTTCTTTGAAATACCCTTCGAGTAATTTGTGAAATAACTTTCCGCATATTATAGAGGAGCGTACGATTGGGACCGCGATCTTAATATTAAGAAACGATCAGAACAATGTCGGCTGGCGTAACCTTCGGATACTTGATTGGACTAGATTGGGTTCTAGGTTTTGAAATAATTGTCGAGTTTAAAAATAGAACTCCGCGCGAGACGCGAATTGAAGCGCACGTGGCCAGAAATAATTATGAATTTATAACAGTTTTACGTAAGTTTATTTTCATTCTAGTGTTTTATTCTAGAGTCACGTTTATTCATTTCCTATACTACTAAACATTGTACTGCAGTTTTTAAAACCCACTTACTTTGTAAGAAGCGGAAAATGATTTTTTTAAAGCCTGGGGTAAGGTCATTATTTTTATTAATAGTGTAAATTATGCGGAGGGTCAAATATCGTTTCCATTTTTTAAAAAAATTTTTGACAAGTTTATGTAGTTGATATGGTACGTACTAAGCCAACAAAAATAATAACCAAATTAATTAAAACTGGCGTGGTTGAAAATTAACTGAATGGGAAATAACGGATCACCCATATTTCACGTCACAAATACTTCCCGTTTACGTTAATTAAAATTCCATTGTTCTTGCAGTAATGCTATTTACTATTACAAGTTGAGTTTTATGAATAAAACATTCAATATAAAAGTGAAGGGGAAAATATCAGTCTAGTTCGATGGTTAATTACTGATAAATTATATTTGTCAGCAAATTTTTAAAATATGTCAAGATTTAACTTTGCGAAGAACATGGGATCAGCTTTCCTTACTTCTCTTCAAATCAACAATTTATTCCTTATCTTCGACCAGCAGAATACCATTTTATTTTGTCCCCTTCTGCTGTAGGGCCGTCATGAATAATTCTTCTTCTAATAAGCAAGAGGAATAACAGTTAATTTGACTGAAAGGAATATTATCTTACATGTTCCTGTAACATTTATTGTTTTCTGTTAACATATATAATTATAAGTCAACATTTGAGTAATTTCGTACATAATCTTTTAATTTTAAACCAGTTTGAACTTCAAATTAGCCAATAGATATATGTTAGATTATTAAGTGTATAAACAATTATTTAATTCCGCTTTTTTGTGTTTAGTTCCTAGAATAATGAGAAGGTCCATTTTACTTTCTAGTGTACGAAGTATTATACGATAAATAGAGAAAGTTACGTAATACTGAGGTAAATCGATTTCAAGACTTTTACGAAAATTCCCTTTGGGGGTTCAGTGTTTTTTTCGCTTCCAAATCAAATGTCCGTTTTTCCGTCCATCCGTGCAAAACACTAATCCTTAAACTATATGTGGGATTTTTCCAAAATGAATATTCCCTCATCGATCTGGCCCGACTTAAATCCCTACAAGTTTGAAAATAATTGTTAAATTTTGAAGGGCTTTATATGTAGCACAGATTTTCAATATTTTTTTCAAAAACGACTCTAACTTTTCTATAAGTTTTATAAGAATATAATGACATGCAGTTATATTGTTAGCGTTGGTCCGATTTTCCCTGTTAACTGCATAAGTTTGAAATCTGCCTGGCTTCTTCCTATAAATACAATATTGAGATAGATTTTCCCTTCAAATGAAGTTTATTCTTCATAATAAGTTCTTAAATAACGTCATGAACATTATTTCCAAAATATTAGTAGTTTTCGTGTAATTTTGAGTGAAATATGGGCTATTTTAAAATCAAGATTTTCTAAAAAACGGCTCCACAGAGTTTTATTAAACTTTTAGCTCGCATAATGCTCACTGCACCAACAAACAGACAGAATCGCAATATCGATGTATTATTTTGATTTTTCAAAAATTACACAAATGTAATTATTTAATATCTCTTGCATCGTTAATATTTACATTGTAGGCAATCTTTATACATTATTGCATTAGTGAGAACAAGCGCTTAAAATTATTTTTCTGAAGTTTCTCGAAATCTCAAAAGTTTTTTTGGAAAATATAATCAAAAGTCTGTCCTTTCAAAAACGCTTCAACGTCATTTTCTAAATAAAAGGGGACTCCAAATTCCGGAATGAAAATATGCCTTGGCAATGTTGCACAAAATTGATAACGAGTGAAGCAATATGTAAGGAACGTTTGATCGACAATTTGTATTAGTTTAATTTTGAGTATTATGTAAAGACATATTCAGAATAGGATTGAAATGAATATTTTAAGTGTTGAACAGATGAACTGAATGTTAATCAGTTGGCTTTTATACAGATAACTAATAATGGGAACAGAAAAATTCCCGAAAGATTGTGTATGAAAAAAAGATTATATATATATATATATATATATATATATATATATATATATATATTATATATATATATATATATATATATGTATATAACATACTGGCGAAGGAGGTTTGCTAATATGTTTCGGGATTTGACAACCTGGTGTTGCAATCTGGCAAACTGACAGTCATCGTGAAAGTTGCATGTTTTGAAGGTTATACGTACTCAGAACGTTTTGACCATACAGCGCTATTTGTGTTGTTTAAGTAACTTATAAATTGTCTGGCCAAAATGGAATTAAATCGTGAAACATTTTCGTGCGATTATGTTTTACAACTTTCGGACGGATTAACTCCAGCAGCACGTGCATGGATGAACTAATTCAATTTTTGCGGAATGGTCATCAAGGACAGTGTTTATCGATGGTATGGTGAATTCAACGTGCTCGTAAGTTACTCCAAGAATAATTTCGCGAATGGTCGTCCAAAATCAGTTGTCTGTTCCGAAAACCATTGATGCTGGCTGAACCGATATTGCAGATCGTTCATGAGATCTATCGTGAGATTAGACAATTCTAGGCCATTGTGGGACCAGCGATATTCAATATTGAATGAAATTTGACTGCAAAAAAATTGGTTTCCGGTTGGAATCCCACAAATTTGTCATCGCTTAAAAAAAGGCTCATGGTCGATTGGTCGATAAGAAATGCTCAAACATACGTCGCGGTGCTTCGAAACACGTCTAATGACAGCCCGAAAGTAACAGCAGTCGACTGTATGGTGTTGCAATGAGTCAAAATGAACCAAAAGTTGTTGCGCACGGAAAGCACTTCAAACCGATGGTCGCCTGTTTTTTCGAAAAAACTGGACATGTCGCAACCGTACCACTAGAACAACGCAGAAGAGTCAATTTTGAGTGGTACACAACGATTTGTTCACCAGCTGTCTTCCAAAAAATCAGTAAAACCAACCGCCGGAGACGGATCACTCTTCACCACGAGAATGCGAGCTCTCACACATCGGCTCAAAGAACTGCATTTTTGAGCACCGAAACATCGATTTGATGAGTAATCCGCCGTATAGTTCTGACTTGGCACCGAATGACTTCTTTTTATTCCAGTACGTAAAAAACAAACTGAGAGGTCAACGTTTTTCGACACCTGAAGAAGCGGTTGCTGCATTCAGAATGCATGTTTTGGAGATACTTCAATCAGTGGCAAAAGTGCTTCGACAATTGGTTCAGACGCATGCAAAAGTGTATGGATGTACATGGGGAATAGTTTGAAAAACAATAAAGTGATTTTCGATGATTAATATTTGTTTTTGTTCTCTAATCCTGAAATATAAAAGAAACGAAAAGTTGAGCCGAGACCAAATCTTAACAGTTTTGAAGGGGAAATCATTCTATGCTAAAATCGCACCCCCTGCCCGCAGCGGGTGGGGCGGTGGGCAACATTTAAATCTTAAATAGGAACCCCCATTTTTTATTTCAGGTTCGGATTCTACGTTTTGTCTAAAACTTTTCTTTCTGATTTGTGATAGGTGGCGCTGTAATCGCAAACATTTTATATCCGAAGTTTTCTGACTGTAATTTGAGTGGTTTTGAGCATGGTCGATTGTTTCTGAGTGGTCAATAAAAATCAGTATTTTCTACGGAAGTCAATAAACTACTTTTAGCGTAACCCAGGATCAACGACGTGGACGTAGTAGTTTTCTGTTCCCTTCGGGGTGCTTGTTTTCAGTGAGTCCCCTTGCCTTTCACTATCGGATGGTTTTTGATGATTCTACAAATACGTCAGCATTTGTTTAAAGTAATTGACAATTTGTAATACTTTAATTTCTGGTATTGTATAAAGACATATTCAGAATGAGATTTAATTGAATATTTTAAGTGTTGAACAGATGAACTGAATGTTAATCAGTTGGCTTTTATACAGATAACTGATGATGGGAAAAATTCCCGAAAGATTGTGTATATATATATATATATATATATATATATATATATATATATATATATATATATGTGACACGTTTGCATAAGGGTCAGTTAAGTCGGCCTCGATGCGCCAGGACTGGAGACACGTGAGACCAAGTACACGGAAACCTAGACTGTGGGTTGGAAAGCCGTGTGTTGCGATTTTATTAAATTGAGTTCGTGGCGTGAGGCCATCCCATTGTGTTATATCTATACTCTATTCTTTTCACATTCTCTTGGCCGAACGGGCAACTGTGTTGGCAGTCTGTGTAGGAACAAACTCCCTTTCTCGGCTGGCCTGGATAGCCAAGGCCGCTAAGGCTGAAGGACCGTAGCTTCCTCG